AGGTCTTGATGCATTAAGCCCCGAACCCTAAATCCTCCATATTCCCAAGTTGCAGCCAAGGAGCCCCATCTTCTATGCCAGATTGGTTCAGAATTGCGGCCTCTGCAAGCACCTGTTGTGACGGATGCAGGCACACTTGGGGGAGGTGGACCCTGGAGTCAGGGAAATTTGAAGGTCTCTTTAAAGGAGTGAGGATCAAAGATCGAAGGTGGTCTGTATGGTACATAGGGACATACGGTTCGCGCTTTATTCAGCTTCTTTGACCGAGCCTGAAGTTAGGTACTGGACTAAACCCCCTTCATAAGCCGATTATGACCATATTCTAACCCGCTCCGAGGTAGGTTCCGTAACCCATTGGTAAACCAGGATCGGACAAGCAGTGCTTGGGTCAGGCATTTCAAGTTTGATGTTGAGGGCCACAGCGGGACTCAGATAAGCGGGGCTTTATGTGGGATGGTTTGGGGCACAGATAAAACTTGGAAAGCTAAGCTGTTGGAAGAACAGCAAGTCGTTGGGTTAAGCTAACCCTTATAGTAGTTTCCATTTTCTTTTCCGTTATCCCAATGTTACCCCAATATATACCCCTATATAAGCCGTATAGTAGTTTTCGAATGGGTGCCGAGTTTCAGGATTGACGTTGAGGGGTGTTGGGTGCAGTGTTGGATTATCCCCTGTCGTCCATGCACTGAGCCCATAGAATCCCTCAAGCAATCTACTGCTCATGGTGTTAATTGGTTTGGGCCTTGCATCCTCAAGTATGGGCGGCTGATGCTCCGCTCAAGCATTGGCAGAAAAGCCTCATGTTGCTGGCTCCTTTGGGCCCTGCAGACTTATAGTCCTCCTTAAGTAGATAGAATCTACTGGGTATATGGGACTTTAGCATGATTGGTGAATTCCATATTCTATCTGCTTCAGGGGACTGTGAGTATGGGGAGCGGCCAGGTTGCCGCTACTCCCGCCTGCATAGGGCATGTAGAGCAACCCAAACACTCCCGTTTGGATCTATTCCACGCTAAACCCCTAAGCCCCTATACCCTAAACCCCTACACCCTAACCCCTAAACCCTGAACCCCTAAACCCTTAAACTCTGAAAACACCCTACACCCCAAATCCTAAATAACTGTTGCCATTTCTTTTCCATTTTCTTTTCCAGTTGATTCTCCATTATTGGGAGGTAAACCCTTCGGGAGCGGCCAGCCTCCCCAGTAGGGCCTATCAGACCTCGGAGTCGGAGCGCAAGGCGGTTCTGAGCCCTCCTGGGCTGATAAGGGAATAGGGTAGAGGACTTGGGACTTTAGAGTTTTAGGGTTTAGGGCTCTAGGCTTCAGGGTTTAGGATTTAGGGATAAAGGTTTGGGACTTAAGGTTTACAGGGGTTTAGGATTTAGGGTTTAGAGGTTTCAGTGGGAGTTGTTTAAATCAGGCCACCCAAATCCTCCAGAACAGGCAAACATGACAATTGGGAGTTAACCCTAAACCCTAAACCCCTAAACCCTAAACCCTAAAGCATGCAGGCCTTCAACCTTGCTGGCCCTCAACTGGCCCTCAACCCTACACCGTAAACCGTGAACCCGAAGCCCTAAACCCAAAGCCCTGAACCCAAAGCCCGAAACCCTCAGCCCTAAATCCTAAGCCCCAAAACCACAAGCAATAAAGCCTGGGGTGTGTGTGTTTTGGTTTCATTTTCTGTTGGGGCAGGTGGGTTGGGGCTAGGGGTGTAGGTTTGGGGGCTTGGTGGCCTAGCGTTTAGGGCTTGAGGTTTGGGGCTCTTAGTGTGTGGGGGACAGTAGTCACAGTGAATATCATGTTAATAAGTCTGACGATGGCGGGAAGAACCCCAAATGGAAGAGCATTGAACTATTCATTGGGGTTATATTGGGGTTATATAGGGGTTATATTGGGATAATGGAAAAGAAAATGGAAACTACTGAGAATGAGAACCCAAATGTCATTCATGCCGTGCCGACAATAGTACTTAACGCGCGTCTCAAAAGAATGGCGATTATCAGGGAGATTACGCGCGCTATTTGTCGTGTTCAAAATGTTCCTCAATAGTTTTACCAGCGGGGAGTGGCAGGATCTGCGAAGGACCTCTGTTTTAAGATCCAAGATACAGCATGATATAGCCATACTGCCATTGGGTTTAGGGTTTAGGGCTGCGTTTTTCGAAGCAAGGTAGTTGCTAGACGCCATCCCTGGCAATGCAGTTGCAGGGTTGATGGGGCCTGCCTGTTTACAGGAGCTGGCATCTCCCCGTCAGTGGGGCGACTTAGGCCTTAGTTCCCAAGGCGTACTAACAACAAAACCCAAAGACTGGGTTCAGGCAGTGTAGACGCCTAAATAGCTGGAATAGGGTTTTGGGCGCCTTTGAGGTATGGTATACTACTTGGTTGCCCAAACTTCAAGACAAGGGACAATCTTGCTAATTCCTCCAGCTCCGACAAGACCTCATCCCTATAAACCTTTACACAACCCCAAATTCCATTTCATCTCTGCGTTCTTTTCACGTGCTTCCATTCTGGGGGTGGGTCACCCAAGGATCCCAAAGGAGGATCCGGGCACGATAGCTACAGGGTCCTAGTTTGGCGGGTTGGAGTTACCAAACCCTTCTATTGCTGCTTCTGTATTGTATGCTGTGAATTCCAAGACGATGTGCATCACGGGCTTGCAAGGCGCTCATCATCCGGGTAGGTCTGAGATTCTGGAAGTTAGCAAAGCTACCTTTGCACACCATATTTCGAACACACCACCCTTAACCGTAAACCCTACTCTTCTAGGGCCCTCAGGAAGTGTTGGGAGGCACCAGGTGAAAGGCCCAAGAGGCCAGTGGGTTCAGTGGGGTCGGGCTTCCCTTGCTTGGCATTAGGTATTGGCCTCCCCCAAACTAACATTACTTAGATTTTTTCTAGACCTTCTGCTTTGTACAAGGAGTAATGTGTCATGTCAGGTTGGGCGAGCGTACGTTCTCCGAACCCTAGAGCCGGAACGCTAAATCCTACAGCCAAGCTGCTCTCGCAAATCCTTGGCGGTACCGTCTGCTCGCACATCTACGGTGGCACTTCTGCCGCTCAGCAGGGAGACGTAGACGCGGATCATGAACATGGGATGGATGCAGCGTGTGAACCGAAAGGCCTACTATGAGTGCAATCGCGAGTCCCTGACAAAGGTGGTTCCGAAAACCATGGATCTCTGCGCCGTACAAAAAAAAACGGTTCTGTCTTTGTAGACTGCTGATGTGCCAGAATGTGGAAGGCGTTCGGTGTGTCCAAGATCTTGTGTCAACTGGCTGGCCTCCCACATGATTCGACGACCCAGCTATTTCAGATTCCTGCGAAGCTAGATGAAGTACCCAGGCCTTCTTTGTTGCGTTACGCCGAGCCCTGTGGAGGCGCGGAGTCTGCAGATGCAGGCATTGATAGCAAGACAACAGAAACTGGAATAAGTTCCCAGGAAAGTATGACTACAGCCCTACAAGGAACCCACACGTCTACCTGAGCTATAGTCTAAACTCCTAGTATCCCCCCAATAATAGCCTGCTATGTATACACCATTATACACCCTTATATGGCACCCCTTTTAAGGAGTGTAGATTACAGTTCAGCTGATGTCCTACTTTGGGGTTGGACGTGGCAACATCAGAAATGTTGGTCCGCCTAATCCCGGGTTCTAAAACCCGCAGTGTGGCAGCATGTGTTTCACTGCAGACGCACACCTACAATAACTATTATTGCTAGTTACAATTACTATTAGTACTATTGTTATCAATAGTTTTAGTATTATATAGCAAGAGAAGAACCTGGTAGATATCATTCTCCTGAGCACCTTGCTTACATAATCTTCGTTGTGATGAGCTGAAAAAACTCTTCCAGCCGTTTTCCGGTGCTGAACGCTAAACCCTAAATTTCGTACGTAACAGGCATCCACTCCCCCGAAGAAATCCAAAACCGATTGCACTACTGTAGACTGCTATGCCACTAAAAGCCTGTGCGCAATGTATAATGGCAAGTAGAAAGTACAAAAGGATATGACCTACTTGCAGCTCAGTACTTTCTGACACAGATACCAGCACCTGCAACCCCAAACCCAAAACCCCAAACCCCAAAGCCTAAACCCCAGACCCTAAACCCTATTACTCCACACCCAAAACCCCAAATCCGGACGTCTGAGATGTAACCTTATTAAGCCCTGAACCTTGAACTCTACACCCTAAACTCCCTTCACGGAGAAGGACCTTCCTTGCCCTGGAGAACACAATGGTCCTTACGTCTCCCGTTTTGAGCCTCCTTTTTTTAGTTCGGGGCCTGTCAACTTAACTTACTATAGGTAGCAATCGTCTCCATACTCATTATTATGGTTATGGTGAATGCGATTTTTCAAAGATGTCAGCTCGTTTTTGAAGTCCCAGACTAAGGCTACTTTTCTTTTCAAGATGGAGGGGGTGGGAGCCCTACAGTTTGCGGTGTAAGCCATCCTCTATTCCCCAGCCTATGAGATGTCCATTCCATGGTGCAAACTGTGGGTAGAGGAAACTTGCACTACCCTATCAGCCCGAATAAAGGCAATTTCTTCGGGCATTTTACGTGGTGCCCGATTTCGTCTCACCCCTACAGGGAAAACCCACACCTGCGAAATATGAACCCTCAGTTTTGCATGAGCCAACAAGTTGGAATTATGAGGAATGCTTTTCTCATTCCACTGCAGCTGCGTAGTGCCGCCAGATGGAATTTACATTACGTAACCCCGGCTGGCACTGAACCCACCGCAAACCGGAAACCTTAAATCTGAACCCCTAAACCCCTAAACCCTGATTCCTTAAACCCTAATCCTAAACCCTGAATCCTAAACCCTAAGCCCTATAAGTCCTATATAAACCCTATTATACTATAGTAGTTTCCATTTTATTTTCCATTATCCCAATACAGCCCCTAAACCCTAAA